ATGGTCCGGGACGGCTCAACTCACAGGGAGGCCGCTGCCAAAGTACGACACCGGTGGTCTCATCGCCGGAGGCGCCTGAGGAGGCCCAGGGCCGAAGCAAGTACTGTACCTCACCAAATGATCGCCAGCATACCACCTCAAACGTCCAGACACGCTGACGCCAAATCATCCAAGCAAAACAAGAGCATCACCGGCTCACCTGAAGCATGGCCAGCGCTGCCAACGATAGACCCGCCGTTTTGAGACACCGCATCGCTCGTCTACAATCACTTCGGAGCGAGAATGTGGTGATAGTCGCGATAAGGAAATCGTAGCCATGGTAAAAGCCCTCATGAATACTATTAGTATGCTCCTCACTAGCATTGACAGCCCGGCTGCTAAGAGTGCACTTCAGTTTGTGGATGCGCTGAAGTCGGTGCTATGAAGTCTTGAAAAGCACCATGGCTCCTTTTCTGCAAGCTTTTTGTGAAGAAGTCAAAGGAGCTTCAATTTTTCAGTGGAATTCCCGATGCCTCAAGCCCCGTATCTATGATATCAGACAGTTTGTGTTTAAAAACCAGTTTCCAATCATTGTTATCCGTGAGCCACGTCTACACAATGCAATACGACTATCCAGGTACGTAGCCTTCAAGTCAGCTACCTGCAACGAACACAGTAGAGCAATTGCATATATCAGATGCGACCTTACCTATATCGAGCACTGTGTAGCACCTCACGATGACAACCAGTATGTCTGCTTGACAGTAAAACGTAGAGACCTTAATTTCACCCTAGTAGGCGCGTGTATAACACCTTCAAACCATTTTGAACCTGAAAGACTACGTGCACTGTTAACAACCACACCTGGACTATAGATAATCTCCGGAGATTTCAAAGCTCACCCCCACTATGGGGAAGTCAGAAGATAGACCGTAGCGGAAAGCAAGTATTCTCCTTTGCTCTAGAGCAGCACCTGCTTTGTGTAAACGACGGAAGCCCAACATCTCTACGGGGAACGACATACAGCAGCTGTCTTGACTTGACAATTGTGTGACGAAGCCTAAATGCAAAGGTTCAGTGGTTCGCAGACTATGAAACTTATGGAAGCGACCACTTACCAACTTAATTAAAGTTCAGGAATCTGGAAAAATTGCGAAATTATGACACTTCGACTCGCATCGACTAGACAAAGTTTAGGTCACTGACGGAAGAGAGGTGTCAAGAAAATGAAGCGTCTCCTCTTGACACCCTCGAGGATATGATTAGAGGTGCTGCTCAAGAAGCGACTTATCATATTGAACATACTTCAAAATGTTGTCAACATGAAGCGGAATCGGAACGTCTCAGAGTGATCCGTGGTCGTGCTGAACGAAGATATAGGCACACTAAGTCCATTCACAACTTGAGGGAGGCAAGGTGCATACAAAAAAAATTCAGCGGCGAATCAATTGACTTTAGGCTTTTCGGTGGAAATCTCTGTGCGAATCATTGGATCCACACAAGCCTTTGACGCAGACATGAAGGATTGTTCGTGGCCTACGAACATCGCCACATCAACATCGCCCCTTCAAGTGCCTGTCTCTCCTCCAAGGCCGCTCCAAAATTGTCTAGAAGAAGATTTCTGCATGAAAGTTGGCGGTCAGGCGCCCGCGTGCACCACGCGTCACCTAGAATACATTACAGTCACCGGAGATACAAGGATTAGCCCCTTTTTCTCTCTAGAGGAACTTCAAGAGGCCTCGACGGCATGCAAACGAACTTCATCACCTGGTCCGGATGGGACCACGTACATGGCTCTTTGCAACCTCGGTGAAGCAGCTTGACGGGCCCTTCTATCCGTGTACAACGACTCGTGGAGCAGCGGGTTTGTCCCTTATTCGTGGAAATCCAGCTGCCTTGTCTCTGTGCTTAAACCAGGTAAATCTCCTCTGGAGTTGATCGTATCCCGGCTGCGGCGGCTGCATTTTCGATGGAGGTGGATGTTGTAGGCCCGTGTGCTCAGATTTGGGTGCACGTTAAAGAACACCAGGTGGTCGAAATTTCCGGAGCCCTCCACTACGGCGTCTCTCATAATCATATGGTGGTTCTGGGACGCTAAACCCCACATATCAATCAATCCTCTGGAGTTGACCTCTTATCGCCCCATCGCGCTTACCAGCTGTTTCGGGAAAGTGATGGAGAGGATGATTTTGACTCACCTGGAGCATCACGAGGTATACCATGATGTTATGACGAGCTTTCGTTGTGGGCGGTCCGCAATTGATAACGTTATTGACGTGGTCTCATCTGTGCAGCATCAAAAAAGACGAAAACGTTTATCTGCGGCGTTGTTCTTGGACGTGAAAGGTGCATACGATAATGTATCACATGAAGCCAGTCCGGATGTCATGGAAAATGTTGAATTAGGGGGTCGGGTTTGCCAATGGATCGACAGCTATTTGAAAGGCAGAAATTTTTTTTATACAGGCAGAGAAATGCACAACAACGCATCATTGCATCCATCGTGCTGTGCCTCAAGGTAGTGTTCTTAGCTCCACACTTTTCAATCTAGCGCTCCTCGGCCTGGTTGACGCACTTCCTGAATCAGTCCATCCATAGATATATGCAGATGACATCTGCATCTGGGCGTCAGGTGTAACACGCCTTCATTTGTGTGCCCGGCTTCAGAGAGTGGTTACACTAGCGACAAAGTACCTAGAAGAACGGGGACTAAAGCTGGCATCAGAGAAGTGCTCGCTTATAGCATTCACGCGTAAGGCGATGAGTCCATATGTTATTAAAATTCACGGACACAGGATCAACTACGTGAAGACCCACCGATTCCTCGGAGTCATAGTTGATCGCGACCTCTTATGGAGCTTTCACATCGCCCACATGAAAACGAAACTCACCGTGATCACCCACGTGCTGAGGTTTCTTGCTGGAGAAACGTAGCGTGCATCGGTACGAACAATGCTTCAACTGTACACTGTTTTAGTCCTCGGTTATATGCGCTACAGCGTACCCGTGCTTTGCGGGATCCGAAAAACAAACTTGCGCGTCCTCCAGTCGACCTGAGCCTAAGCACTGCGAATATGCCCTGGTCTCCCGAGAGGCGCGTCTACAGCAGCGACAGTCATCATTGCGCGTGATTATCCAGTCAACGCATACATCCGCGTAGACGCTTTGAGAATACACCTAAGATATTTCGCTCGGCTTCCATCACACCAGCACGCCTTACTTCGAACTTTTAGGCCCCACTCAGCGTTCAACGCAACTGTAGCTCAGCATTGAGCAGTGCTTCCATTGCACTTCACGTATGCAGCACGGCCACTGTTACCATTATTGTGCCTACACCCACTCAAAGCTCTTCTTACAATGCCTGGCATCCAAAATAAGAAAAAGTCGTCGCATCTAGCCCTGAAACAGGCCACATTACTCTTCCTGCAAGAGAAGCACAACGGACACCTTCACATTTACACGGATGGCTCTGTCTGTTCAGGAAGCTCAGCATGGGCGGAGGTTATGCCCGCGAGACACATCAAAATTATATTCATGACATTGCATTGCACGTCGTCTACAGCTGCAGAACCCGCTGCCATACGTGCAGCTCTGGAGTATGTAGTGGAGGAACCTTCGAGAACTTGGTCTATCTTCTCGGACTCGAAAAGAGCTCTTCAATGTCTTATGTACCCCTTTCGCCACGAACCAAATGAACAGTTAGTAGCTGAAATAAGTCTTCATCACCAAGCAATCGAGAAACAGCACAGCATAGTGTATCAGTGGATACCAGGTCATTGCGGTATATATGGCAATGACCGCGCAGATGCGGCTGCTAGATTTGCACTCGACGCTGCCCAATACACAGCCATCCCGTTCTCAAGAACCGATGCAGCTACAAGACTTCGTTCGCTTGCGCGCGATCTCGCACTGTTACAGTGCAACTCAAGAAAATTCACAAACGCGCGCCTGCATAACTTGGATCCCGATCTGCAGGAATCGTCTTTCCTCAGGGATATCTCGAGCTGAGGAGACTCTTCTTGCCGTCTGTGGCTTGGAGTGGCCTTCACGAACGCATACTCCTATCTCATTGGAATGGTAATCTCTTGTACATGCACTTACTGTAGCTGCAAAAAAATTATCGCGCACCTTTTATGTGAGCACACCAATTTCAACGCGCCAAGACAAAAACTGACTGCAGCTCTGGTTAAACTGGATGATCGGCCTTTGTCAGAACAAAGGATTCTGCGTCATTGGCCGAGCCCATCGTCCACCCATAAGGCTTTGAATGCTTCGCTACGCTTTTTGCGGAAAACTGGCTTCGGAGACAGTCTTTAGTGACTTATACTCTTTGACATTGCCTTTCTTCTGTCGCTATTTTTTTGAGATTTCTCTCTCTCTCTCTCTCTCTCTCTCTCTCTCTCTCTGTTCGCAACATTTCTTTGTATCATCTTTTATTCCCCTCACCACTTTCCCTAGCACATGGTACTTAGCCGGTCTAAGAACTGGCCATCCTCCCTGTCCTTCCGCTTAAATTTTCCTCCTCCTCCTCCTCCTCCTTGGGACATGTGTTACTGGAGCATTGACTACCAACCGGCAGCGTTTTCTGAACACGCTGAAAAGGTGTTGCAGGGTCTGTTTAAAAAAAACTTGTAGTCGTTGTTCCTTTTCAAAGGTGCATTTGTTGCTTACAGGTTTGCGCCAGTTTATTTGTCATACGCGAAACAAAGTATGTTTGTTGGGAGAAATCAGCATCGGATACTAGTTTCTACCTTAATCATATAGGTCAAGTCTGTTTAGACTCAGCAACTTATTTGTTACTTGTTCAATATGTTCAAACTCAGATGACGACACCTATGTACCTTATATCTGAGAGTAGCTGATTTTTACAACAGACGCAGGTATCGATGCAAATTGATTTTAAATGTATTGTACAAATTCTTTTAAGACAAAATTTTTCCAGATATATTTTCGGAAGTATGTCCTAGTGAAAATTTGTGGATGGGGTATTTCATGCAGTCTCACGTATTTGCTTTTTTCATTGCTGCTTTATTTGATATTTGTCTTGTAGTTGTTGTTGCCTAGATCAACATTCTTGAGAGCACACACACCCACAGTGTCTCCGAATTCGTCGTTCCTTGGTACACAAGTACAGTTGCCACCAGGTATGCTAGTGCATGGTGTGTCGTGTTTAGGATTGCACTGCAATGACGAAACAAAACAGCTGTATTTAACCACAATACTCCAGCTGAATGAGCAATAACAGGGATAATAAATGTTTCATTTTAGTTGGAATAAATTACATATTATGCAATATTTTTGACTTAATAAATAATTTTGTTATTAATACGTGCAAAAAGTTTCAAGAGTCGCTTTTGGTTAAAGGGTTAATAAAATTGTCAGTGCGGCGTGATAAACATTACAGTCCTTAGAATTACTTCTGTATGCCTTGATGGATATGTGGGATTTAACGTCCCGAAACTATTATATGATTATGAGAGACGCCGTAGTGGAGGGCTCCAGAAATTTCGACCTCCTGGCATTCTTTAACGTGCGCCCAAATCTGAGCACATGGACCTACAACATTCCCGCCTCCATCGGAAATGCTGCCACCGCAACCAGGATTCAATCCCGCAAACTGCAGGTCAGACTTGTGTATGCCTTCAATAGTATAAAGACACATGTACAAAATATTGTCCTGTTGTTATGGTGCAACAGATATGCACAAAAATCGCTTTTTAATCGACATTCACACAAGTATGAACGCTGAAACTTGAGCAATATTGGTGGGCGCTGCTGTCGGGTTTGGCCTTTTGGGGCATCGCTTGGTGCCGTTAGGGGTATTGTTACGGCGGACAAACAGACAAAAGTACAGACAGACAGACAGACAGACAGGCAGACAGACAGACAGACAGACAGACAGACAGACAGACAGACAGACAGACAGACAGACAGACAGACAGACAGACAGACAGACAGACAGACAGATCGACGGATGGATGGACGGACGGACGGACCAAAATTTTTTCGTCAAAGTACCCCAAGAAAGACAATTGTATTTACAAAAATGGCAGCATATCCTCGGAGTGAATGATGGATAGTGGGGCGAAGCATCCATCCGTCCATTCGTTCTTGCTTCCGTCCGTCCATGCGTGCGTCTGTGTGGCCGCCCGTGCGTGCATCCGCCCGTCCGTGCGTGCGTCTGTTTGCGCATCCGCACGTTCATCTGTGCGTCCGTCCCTGCTTTCGTCCATGCATCTGTTCCGGCGTCCGTTCATGCATCCATCCGTCCGTGTAGCCATCCGTGCGTCCGTCCATGCATCTGTCTGTGTGTCCGTTCGTCCACCTATTCAACACTCCAAGTACCATAATCTCGCATCTTTTCATCATATATTCCTCATATAGAAGCACTGCCATCCAGCGGACATTCCAAAGACTGAACGAGAGGAGGCACACGCACACTTTCTTACGGCTTGCGCTTCGTGCCTACTTCCCACCTTTAACCACCTCGAGTTCATGGTATATACTAGTTCACTGTATTCATGGCACTACGGCCCAACACTCGCTAAACCTTTCCAAAACCTATGAGGTTACGCCCAGTGAGTATAACGTAGCAACCCTTTCTTGTCTTCTGTGCGTTGTTGAACAATAAAAAATTCGTAGCGTGCGCAATAACTAAAAGCCGAATTCTCCTGTCTCTCATTTTCCCTTAGCAGCCATTGGCATGTACAATGAGCACTATCTTTTATTGCTCAACAACGCACAGAAGAAATCTCTCCCCGGTACCATCTTGGAGGTCAGAATGTTATACTTGTTACACACTATTACAATGGCTACGAGGGAAGAACAAGTGCCGCTATAAAAAGCTTCGCCCCTCAAATTCCATCTGAACAACCAGAAGGTAGTACGAAGCTTGCCTTTTCCGTGCCTTCACTGCATCGCAGTGAAGACGCGGAAAAGGCAAGCTTCGGCAAATGTGTAGTTAAAAAAGGCAAGTGTGTAGTTATAACATAAAAATAATCACATGTATGTCATTGATGTCATAGCTTATCTTGCGGTGTTTTTTTTTACATGACATGTTGCAAAACTGGTATGTTATGACATGACTGCATGGGGCCGGAAGACAAGTGACAGACGGATCCTAACGTGGAACTGATGACATGTAAGTCATGTACACATGCCACACTCATGATCCGTTTCGCTACCTTCAGATATACCAAATTTGGTATTACGGTACATGAATGAATGACGCAGCTTTGTGACTGGTGCAAACATTATAATCATGAAAACATGTCATGTGAGAACATGTTTACATACGACGCTCATGATGCACTCACGGCCGTTTCTCTAGCTTCAGATATACCAAATTTAGTATTACTTGACGTGAATGGATGGTGAAGGCATTTGACTGGTGCAAACATCGTAATCATGAGATAGGCGTCATGTAAAAAGATGACTACGTGCCACGCTCATGATGCGCTCGCGGCCGTTTCGCTAGCTTCACATGTACCAAATTTGGTATTACATGACATGAATGGACGACAAAGGCCACAGACACGTCGAAACATGGTAATCATGGTATGCGTGTCAGGTAAAACATGACTACAAGTAGCGCTCAAAGCGCGCTCGCGGCCGTTTAACTAGCTCCACATATACCGAATTGGATATCACGTGACGTGAATAGACGACGAAGGTTAATGTGCAAACATAGTAATCATGACAAGCTTGTCATGTAAAACAAGACAACATGCTACGCTCATAGGGTGTTCGTGACCGTTTCACTAGCTCTCCATATACCAAATCGGAGATGACGTGACGGGAATAGACGACGAAGGCAAATGACGCGTTCAAACATCATAAGCATGACATGGCGAGGAAAACAACGCTTGCAAATAAAAATTAGTCTCTGTTTTTTTTATTCTGGTACAGAGATGATGCACAGAGACACCGATAAGTCTTACTTTTTTGCGTCAGTTCTACCACATAAATAAACGTTCTGTTCTAATGTGTTCTAACTGTTTTACTCCATAATACAAAGTTCTGCAGCAAAAAAAAGAGAATAATACAGAACAGTACCCAATAATTCACAATACGGAAAGGGTAAAAAACATGATAGCACACTGAAAGCAGTTCAAATATAATGCCAATACACAGTTTTCTCAGAGCAGTTCACACAGTCATAAACTGTTATAAACTGTTTACACGCACACCTTCCTTTTATACAGTCAGTATATGCATCAACACATTATATTCATATATATATATATATATATATATATATATATATATATATATATATATATATATATATATATACATCTCTGGCTGTCTATCATAGGCGCTTGTCCAGTCCGGTTTCCACTAAAAAGTTCGTCAGGAAGAATATTGCTGTTTACTAGAGATGCATCTCAGGCCATGGTCCAAGCAGTTTCCTTATTGTGAGGGGCCGTATGTCCAAACCTGCTAATTTCTTCTTTGATTTTTCTCTTTCATTCGCGTATTTAACGCACTCCAAAAGAATATGGCAAACATTTTCTTCTGCATGACCACAACGACATTCTGGTGAGTTGGATCGATGTATCTTGTGCAGGAAGCTGTTTGCGTACACTACTTCCAATCTAAGTCGGTGGTATAATGTCTCTAGGTGTCATGGGAGGCCTGTCGCAATTGAAAATTTTCTGTGTAGATCAACTACATAAAGTGCTGTTTCCTTTGATTTAGAGCTATCAAACCACTTCTCTATCGAACAATGGTTAGCACCTTGCGTTATAAAATGTCGAATATCCACCCCACACATGGGATTGCGCAATCCTGCCCTTCCTTTAATGCTTTCTTCGCGAGGCTGCCAGCCTCTTCATTTCCCTTTATTCCAATGTGGCTGGGTATCCATTGAAATACGATGTTGTGACCGTGTGATGAGGCATATTCCACAGTTTCTGCAATACATTGCGCTATTTCCCCCTTTTTTTGTAAAGTGGTTTTGCATTTCTGATTAGTTGAAGAGCAGGTTTGCTATCCGTGCATATCACCCCCTTTCGTGGCTCAGGATTCTCGCAGATAAGCTTCATTGCTTCAAAGATAGCCACCAATGCTGCTGTCGTCGATGAAGATTTGTGCGATAGTTTGTACATTCTTTTTTTCTGAAATTCGGGTATAACGATAACACCGGCTGAAGCTTCTTCAGTGCATGATCCATCTGTATATACCTTCCTTTTTTCATTATGCATTATATGAAACTGACGATGTGCCATCTGTGCCGCTACTAGAGGTGGCATGTCTGCTTTCTTCTCTATGCCGTCTATTTCAAGGATAACGTTGAGAAGCCGCAGCGTCCAAGGTGGCTTTGAAGGTTTTCATCGTTTAAATTCTGGTACACTGCTTGCATTGATGATACATTGTCCAATAGTCTCGTTGCCGTCCTTTGTGTTAGTGCACCAGATAAAAGATGTCTTTCATGTTGCGCGAAAATTCTAAATAAATTTCGAGATGTTTCTTTAGCTCGGAGTACTACCAAAGGTGGTTGTCGAGCAACTGCATACGCTAAAGCACTGGAAGTTGAGCATGGCAACCCCAGACATACTCTTAAGCTCCTTGCCAACAGCAAGTAAAATCTCCTTTCGGTGGTGGCTGGAGGTCCGTGCAGCAGGGGTAGTGAGTAACTTACGATGTGGCGTATCCAGGCAACATGTAGGGCTAATAACAACAGTGTAGTACCACCACATTTAGCCCCGTAGAGATGACGCGGGATCCAAATGGCCTGATTAACTTTTTAGAGGCGAAGTTCCTTAAAGCGGAACCCGTTCGTCCATGGTAGTAGTGCGTAACATGCCTTACGCTTTCACCTGTAAGGTGGTGCTGGTCGGAAATTTCTCCTGTGCGTTGTTGAACAATAAAAATTAGCAGCGTGCACGTTAACTAAAAGCCGAATTCTCTTGTCTCTCATTCACCATTAGCAGCCATTGGCATTTACATTGAACACTATCTGCCAATAAAGGGTTGCTACGTTATACTCGCTGGGCGTAACCTCCTTGGTTTTAGAATGGTTTAGCGAGCGTTGGGCCGCAGTGCCATGAATACAGTGAACTAGTATTTACCATGAACTCGAGGTGGTTAAAGGGGGGAAGTAGACACGAAGCGCAAGCCGTAAGAAAGTGTGCGTGTTTCACGTCTCGTTTAGTTTTTGGAATGTCCGCTGAATGGCA